CTTTTATAGCCTTGCAACATTTTGTTTACCTAACGGTTGTTTGTATCTCCTAAAGCTAATCCCAAGATATATATAATATTTATATATGTTATACTAGACGCCCTCCGCTGCGCTCCGGGACGCTCGCTTCGCTCGCTCGCCTACGTCCGCCCCCCGCTGAGCGCGAGCTAGCTCGCTCTTATGTTAGTTGATTATCGACAGCAGCAGAGAGATAATCAGGATAACGAGACGAGTTGAAATTCGGATGTCAATCTGTCTGTCTGTGTAAGCTGTAACTTTATATATGGCACCGTAAGAAGGTTGGTATTGCAGATGGGCGTAATCGGGCCATTGACACACCCACAAAATGTAAAAAAAAACTATAAATTGTCATAACTAAGTTCCACAATAAGTTACAAGCTTGAAACAAACAATTATATTAGTGGGTAATGCCCCGCCCCCTAATAGGTTCAATGTATATATCCTTTCAACAGCTCTTATGACAGTGTGAAGAGTTAAATCGGATGATAGCCCCGCACAATTCTCAAATAACTGTTATGTCAAAAATTTGTAAAAGTGCGATTAATCAATAAATAAATTCGTCAGAGACATTAAATTTGACACCCAGGATGGTGACAAAATAGGACGATGGGCGTGGCTAGGTCACCTTTAGGTGTAAAAAATCACTAAAAATGTTCTTCTATCTAGTGCCTAAGCATATCAACTAGAAAAGAACAGTACTTTTAGAAGATGTTTTTAAAGTTGCCTGAGCGACGTGAATAGTCAGCGCGGAACCGGGTATAGAGCTCGATATATCGCTAACCAGTATATTTTCGAACAAAACTTTTATAGAGCATAGATATGTCTACATTTTGACTAGTACTTCAATCATTACCTGTGTTCATCTATTGAAATAACGTTTTTATACCCTTTTCAATAACGTCGGATACTATATAAAATATATATCTAAATGGGCAACATGACGAGCTGAGTCGATTTAGCCATGTCCGTCTGTCTGTCTGTATATACGTAAGGGACTAGCTCAGTTTTTGAGATATCGATCTGAAATATTGCTCACCTTTTTTCCTCCTCAAGAAGCTGCTCATTTGTCGGAACTGCTAAAATCGGATCACTATAGCATATAGCTGTCATACAAACTGAACAATAAGAATCAAGTTCTTGTAAAGAATATTTTGTATTTGTGAGGGTATTATAGCTTCGGTGCAACCAAAGTTAACGTATTTTTCTTGTTTTATTTTTGTTTTTAGATTTGAGATCAGTTTAAGCAGAAAAATCTTAATCTAAACCGCCAGACACCTTTTTTCGGAGGTCCTCCTGGAGATCGGCTACGGGATCAAGAGAATCTAAAATTTTTCAAAATTTTTCGCCGATGTACCTAAATTACATTAAATTCTGGAAATATACATTTTTTATATTTATTTATCAAATAAAATACCACTTAAAAAACTGACTTGCAAGTGGATATAACGCCTTATGCTATGATTTGTGATATCACTTGTTCAGATTTTATCTGCTGGGTGTGCGCTTATTATACCACCAACTCAATCCGACTTCTCGACAACACATCATTAAGTGTAGTATTGTGGGTGGCAAACAGTTGTGGCATGCCACATACGCTTTCCGCTTACAATGTCACCGAACAAAGGGTTGAGTTTCCCCACTTCATTCATCACTTACTGCACATTTTTATGTGTGTGTATGTGCTTGTGATGTCGCACAATGTGGCAGCATGAATCTGAGAGGCTGTTAATCCCCACACACACCTGACGCTTGGCTTGCGCACAAATAAAAATATGTATTTATTATTATATTAAAGTTTTAAATATTTCAACGGCACATTTGCCAAGAGCAGGCGCTCATCAACTGCCTAATTAAGAATTATGATTTTCACATCATTTTATGAATACAAACACAGGCACACACACACATTTGCCTCACTTTAGTGATTGCAGCAGTAAATGTGTATTTGAGTGTGCGTGTCTCAGTTTCGCGGTGATTTATTTGTATTAAGCGGTCGTTTTAAGTATTTATTTATGTACACAAATGAGTATTTAAAAATACATTATACTTGCAGCATTAAATGGTTGAAATGTAAATGTCGACACTCGCACAAACAAGCGTGCAACTTCATTGCAAATGCAAAGCTTTTTCCATATTTTTTTACTCAGTTAATATAATTGTCAACACATACATACAAACGTAAGTTAACATTTGCCATATTTGTTGACAATTTGTATGTAATTGATGGCGGAAAATAAAATTATTCAAGATGTTAATGGATATTAATTTGCGCGATATTTATTGGCAGAACTCATATTGGGGTTTCCAATAGGGATGATATGAATTCTAAGTGTCGTTTCGGCCATTTTTTAATATGTCGTCGTATGTAATTAATTTTATTTTTCATAGTATTCAGTAATGTTTACAATTTCATCATTTAAAGATATATGCAAGAACAAAGTTTACAAATTATTCACTTTTATTATCATTTTTTTAAGAAAATCATCTTCTCTGATAAGTCTTATTTTCTTCTTTGGGATAAAGAAAATCCACAAATTATTTATGAACAACCATTACACTCACCTAAATTGACAGTTTGGTGTGGGTTTTGATTTGATGGAGTCATCGGTCCGTACTTCTTTCGAAATGAGGCTGGTGACACCATTACTATCAATGCAGAGCAGTATAGTTCGATGATAACCAACTTTTTATGGCCGCAATTGGAAGAAGTTGATCTTGGCAACATCTGGGTCCAACAAAACTGGGCTACGTGCCACGTAGCACTTGCAACAACTGAATTATTGCAAGAAAAGTTTTGAGATTCCATAACTTCAAAAAATTGTGACATTGAATGGCCTCCAAGAAGTTGTGATACAATAAACCCGACTCTCTTCAAGCTTTAGAAGTCAATATTGAACGTGCTCTTCATGCCATATAACTTGATTTAGTGGAAAAATACTAAAAAATTGGGTTCATCGAATTCGTTACTGGGTAAGAAGTCGTGGTTGCCGTTCAGAACTTAATTGTACTTCACATTAAATACAAAACATTTGAATTCCCTTAACAATTAGTGCTTTTCTTTTGAAAAAAAATCATATCGCTCTTATTAGAAATTCCTGTATATTTTTGACACGGAAAAATCTTTATATTTTAAAGCCATTTCTAATTTCCACTTTTTCTAGAGCATATTCTTTGATGTCTTAAATGTAGGAATTTTTATCAAATCCCAACTTCTTCGAAATTTCACAGTTCCACTGCAGGCAGCTAGAGCATGAACAAATTCGATCGCACGATATTCGGAAACAGACTAGGATTTTTATCCGACCAAGTACTGTGAAATTCGTTGCATGCTTTAAAAATATTTGGGAAATATGTCTGCCGCACAACAACAATAATAACGTAAATGTTTAAATTATTTCCACAAATTGATAATAAATCAATTCAATGCCCTATCAAAGTTAGTCAAAATAGTGGAATCAGACAGTTTAGAACAAAGGCATTTAATTTGGGATTACATGAAGAAACCTTTCAAACATTTTAGTCCTGTGATTAAAACTTCATTTCAAGGCATTTATTTGCACTTAAAACGGTGCAACATTACCAGATCCTTATACAAATGGTGGGAAAAGCTATTTTCAGAAAGTCATAAAGGTATAAAGAGCAACGAAAAAGCATGACTGAACCCACCATGATCAAGCACTTCAACGCCTTCAAATGCAGTTTGAAAGAATGTAATATAGCACCACTACTGATCTATTAAGATGACTAGAACAGATTTTCACAAGCATCTATTGAGGCGAATTTTCCACCAGCAAAATTATTCGCCATAGACGTTAACAGATAGTAATCAATTGATGCAAAGCTCAAACAATAAGGTGGATGTATACGATTAATCCAAACAAGCTCTCAGAACTTCTGGCGAGTCTTTATCGATGAGTATGGCCTAACTGATTCTACTGATAGAACACAATTCCTCTCCTATTGGTGAAACCTACCTACTTCTGCGCAATAGCTTACTTCAGACGGTGCAATTGCTAACTGTACAGATGATAGGGAAGCAGCGCATAGTAGATGATTCCCTTCCAATCTCACCAAGTACAGAATAAACCGTTTTAACCGTCATTACTGGCTTAGCCACTACCGTTTTCGCTTGACGTTATCGTAGTTGACCCATTTTTCATCACCAGAAACCATCCGCTTTAAAAATTAAAAATATTTAATTTGCTTTTGCAGTAATTCCCAGAGTAAAATTCGTCTATGAGGGTTTTTGCCTTAACTACTTTGGTTTTTCAAATGATATTAAACGCTTTTTGTGCCATGGGCAATCGAAACAGTACTTTCATTCTGATCGGACTACACTATTTCCAATATATTCGACAGTTAGTGTTCCAGATGTACCTTTGATATTAAAATTGTCGGAATGGAATCGACGAAACCTACAGTATCAGGACCATAAGCACTATACATATTTTTAGCCACGTTACTTGCGCTTTCGTCTTTATCAAAAAAAACTGTAAAATATGGCGTATTTTTCGTTCGATTAGCCATTTAGTATAAAATCTTATATTTCTTACTTATTTTTGAATTTCTCCTGAAGAAAACAGTTATCTCTATGTTCCTGTTAATTGTTGAAATAAATGTTTCGACAATTGGTTTTTTCAAATCAGCAGTGTATAGACGCTAAACTTATCTGTTTTGAAAAAGAAAGAAGAGAAATATCTTATATTATCAATCATAAGACCTACTTGAAGACAGCAATGGCGTCAATTCAACCAAATCAATAGTCAATAAACACAAAATGTACTTACGCCGGGTATATACCAAAAAATACTATTGCTTTTTAGTTCCGATAGCTATCTGATTACCTGTGAGAATATGTAATTTAGATTTGAGCAACCTGTATGACACAGATATCTACCTAGTTCGAGCACAAAAAAAAAAAAAAATTGTTGTTCACTGCTGACTTCCATATTTAAATCTAAATATGTATGAAAAAGTGTACCAGTTTTATTATCAGCTAGAAAAAATTATGCGACAGCATGTGATCTACATATATACTCTACATTTATACATATGTGCATATATCTAGTGCCTCTAACTGAACATCGCTTCCGCAATGGCGCTAGAAAAGCATTTCGCTTCCGCACGTTGTACGCAGGAGCGTCGCTCATAGTCCCACAAATACTGGAAGGGACACTGGAAGATCATCAAATAGCCATTGGAGCAGAAGTAGTAGTAGCCGCAATTACGCGAATGCGGAATGTAGTCGTAAACGCCACGATTGCATATCAAACGCACCGGCCGATCATACTAAATGCAAAAATAAAATTATAATAAGTGGCTACACTAGCAAAACTGAAGCAAAAACACACAACTTACCGGACAGTACATATTGTTTTCTCGTTCGCAATGCGACGTCTCCTGGTTGAAGTAGCTGTGCCGTGGACAAATCATCGGTATGGCAATACCGTTATAGCAGACATAGTATGCGGCACAAGACTGTGTGTTGGGCATGTATATAACATTTTCTAGACCATAACGCCGTGGACACAATGGCGTCTGTGCCATTGAGGTAGAAGAGCCTGTGTTGCCCACATCGATGGCATTCAGCGCCAAACCAGTTACAGCCTCGCTGCCAACAATACCGCCACCAAAACCATCCAATAGTTGTTGCTCTTGACTCATCCATTGTCCACCCAAAACATTCCAATTGCCAATAATATTATTGTCAATATTAAAGTTGTTGTTGTTGTAAGCATTGACGGGATCAACACGCAAACCATCAGTGCTCGCACCGCCCGAACCGACTTCGCCTGTCGATTGCTGACCCACTTTACACACGATCGAGGCGCGTTCATCACATTTACCCTCTTTTACGTTGAAGTAGTTGTCACCGAGGCACGCGCCTTCGAAGGAATTTTTGCCATCACAGTAGATATATTTGCCGCAATCATCCTGGCTCGCAACATACTTCTGATCGTTTACAAAACCAATGCACTCACGGTAGAGTTTACCGCGCACCATGGCCGCGAAGATAAGTAGTACATGAAAGATCCAATTATATAGCACCATTGTCGTTGCTGTATTCAAGGTTTTCCGTTCAATAAATTCTAAAAGCTGTGTTTACTTTGCGAATATCGAAAAATCACTGGAATTCACTTGTTTGGCAATTTCGGTAGGCAGTCACAACTTCTGTGTCTTGTTATCTTCTAAGATTTCTCATTTGTTACTACCGATGTTTGTGCCACATACATATACATATTTTTATCAAAATAGACATACTCAGTTTCATTTTCAAAAGTTTTGCAGTAATTTTGAACTAAATTCTGTGCAAAGTTCACATGTGCCGATCGCTTCATTTGCATAACATTTCAAGAAACGCTTTAGTACTAACTACAGTCTAATCACTCTAAGATATTTATGCCAATTTAAGCAACTTTCAGTAAAATTGGAAAAAAGCGAAGCTGAAATTCAAATTACAAAAAATTATCTGTCTCTCGTTCGCATAGAATCAAAAATACGCACATACATATGTAGTATTATTATCCGTCTTTAATATCTTCTCTTTCGAGATTGAGATATTTTTCTAGAAATCCAGTGAAAATTCTTTTTGACTTTGCTTTTATTAGAGGGGAGCTACGAGCACTCCATATTTTCAGGCATAACCTTCAAATATATATTTATCTATTTTTCCAGGCAATACTTAAAACTCAAGAAATTAATGGAAGGAAGACAGTATAAATCGTTCTTTATATTTGAGCTTATTTTCGAATGTCAAATTAAGTTCTAAGTAAATGATTTGCGAGCGATAATGCGGTGCAAGGTTCCACCGTTTGCAGCATTATTTATTGGTTGCATGCAAAAATACATATGTACATATATCGATTACAGAGTATATCGCTTAAATAATCCAAAATTTTTTTAGATGTTGTGCGTGCGTGACCTTATATAAGCTTTTACTGAGTTTAGTAGTGGCTAGTCGCACACCTTCCTATTTCCTATCCAAAGAAATGCAATAACAGATACGATATGTATGCAAATATAATATATAATCTGCCGCAGACTGTTTGGTGGTGGTAGCTACAATTTCTGTGCATTGAACTGTAAGTTTTCCAACAAAAATATAAACACCTCACCAGTTATTTTTATGTGTTAATATAAGTATATATTTATTTAGTAGATATGACTAACATTGTACTCTTATGCTAAATATATATTTAATACACTAACAATATAAAAGTGTAACGCTTTACGAAAACACAAAATAGTTAAAATACATTTAGAAAAAAAAAAAAGCAATTAAAGTTTTCAATACGAAATGTGATAATCAAATTAAGGCTTCACAATATAAATGTGAAAGAAGAAGCTAAATGCAAACATGTGTGCGGCAGCAGCGCCGATAATGCAATAAAGTGTGACCGCAAACTGGATGGAGGAGCAAGGCAATACATAGTACATACAAGTACATACATATGTATTATATATATGGCATAAGCTTATAAAGATTTGAAGACGCGCCGGGCTGTCTGCTGGACTGGAACACACACATTATAAGCCAACAACCGCCGCGGACACCAACTTGAACACACATACGCCTACTGTATCGGTTGGAAAGGCACACATGTGTGTACTGTATGTATGTATGTTTGTGGGAATGCTGGACCGTGGATAGCCGTTTACTTATTTCCAGTAGAAAAGATGGGCGCTGCGTACATCGAAGTGGTAGAAACGCAGCAACATGTAATCCTGCCATTTAGTGGGCAACAATCTGCGCCAAAACAATAAAGAGAAGCGAGAGAAAGGCAAAAAGAAAAAAAATACAAAATTTCATGAGCAATGCAGTAAAGTGAATTAAAATAGAATAAATGCGAAAAATGCAACGGCAACGCGTTTCGCAATTGCAACATAATTAAATAATAACTGTTAAGTGGCGCAATCTTACCAACGTTTGCGCTTTTTATGTTCATTTTCCTTTTTATTTTTTAATTTTATATTTTGCTGCCACTTTCTTAATTGCATTTAATTATTATATTTGCCGCGTTGGCAACAATGCCTTGCACACATACCACACACATGCACACACATGTGCGTACTCACCTGAGCAGCCACACGGTGAGCGCGAATATTTTCGGCACGTACACTATGCGCTCATTGTAGAGGACACCGCGTACGATCTTCTCGGCGACGTAGGGTGTCGGCAAGCCCGGATAACTGGCCATTATGCTGGATTTGCACGAGCAGCCACGCAAGCAGTGTTTTTGTTGTACAGCACATGATTTGAGGTTAATCCAATTACACGCACACGTTGGTTATACCAGATGGTGATTGTCATAAAAATTACAATATAAAATAATTAAGGAATCAATAAAAATACATGCGCACACATGCATTTCGGTATATTTGTATACTAATAGGGTTTCGTGCAGGTATTCATGCGTTTTGTAGTAGTATAATCACAGAAGTAACGCTAAAGTCCAAAAATATGAGACAGGGATAGTGATTTTATGCATACATTTGTTTATATTGGGGTGGTCCTTCAGTATAAGAAAAAAATCTCAGATCTCTGAAATCAACTCCTGATTTTTTTTTAATTTAGTCGAAATTTCGGTGACCATTGGAGATGACTAAGAACTCTTGCAGGGAGGTTTAGCTCAGATTCTTCTGTAGAATCAAATCAAACATATTATTTTTTTCCTTAAGTACCAATAATCGATAGCATATTGTAAACCAAATTTTTAATTTTTTCTGTAACTAGGGTATATAGGATAGATTTTAAGTAGAAGATAAAGCTTACACGTGATATATTATATTTGACCATGTTCTTCGTTTGATAGAGTGAAGGTAAAAGAAGACTATCCTAATGCATATACAAAAGTCGTGAATCATTTTATTGAGAGAAATACTATCGTTTAAAGGTGTGAAACTCAAAAATGTTATTAATTTTGCTTTGTTAGGACGACTCTGATGCAAATATTGTCTTCTTGGTTGTATTATTAGCATTTGAAGCGATAAAACTAAGAACAAGAAAAAACGTTAACTTCACTTGCTTCGAAGCTATAATACCGTTCACAAAAACAAATGTTCCTTATTATTAATTATTTGGAACATTTTGAATAAGGCTGGATACGAAAAGTAATAATTAGCGCATTTAATTTCATGAAAAAATAATGGATTTCTTTTTGCTACACCTAATTTTTTCTTTGTTTTTTTTTTTTTTGTAAGGAGCACCCTAACTCACACGCACTATGTTTTTATGTATGTGTGTTTACAATGCATACTTTTGATTATTACATTCTTGGAAAGTTGCTCCACACACTGCCACCTGCCACCGGCATTCTTGCCGCACGGCATTAATTGCTTTTAACCTAGACGCATTAGCAGCGGCTTATATAATATCTCAAACATATGCACATAAACACATATCTATTATGTAACTCGCTAAGATTGTACTATAATTATTGTTGTTGCACTCACCCCGCATCGCTGAGTAAGGGCAAGTCGCCACTAGTCTTCATTAGATAGGCATTTGCCACGGTGGTGCGTATGTAGTCGCAGTCGGAAAGGCGCAATTCGCCGCGCAACGCCTCCATAAAGCCCAAAATGCCATACTTCGTGGCGGTGTAAATGCCAGCACCGGGCAGCGGTACTAAACCTGCAATTATGGAATTTTCATATGATTAGAAGAATTTCATGCACTATGTGATGCTATGCAACGCATGTAATTAAATCGAAGGTATGTAGGTAAGTCATGACTGTGTTGAGAACTCATTTTCGGCGGTCGGCGGTCTGAAATGCCGAAGATATTCACAGCATAGCCGCTTGTTATTGGTGGGTGGTTGTGTAATAAATGGAGTACTTGAGAAGGTGTAGTATTAGAAGTATTGTTCCCCAAATGCTTCAAATTTCATTATATTCTTCAAAGTTCATTACTTTTCGTATAATTTTGATCCATTTTTTTCAATTCACAGGATTAACCCCAAATAATATCAGTGTAAGTCACCAGCATGTCATGGATGGACATGATGCGTTTCAATAACAACTCCAAAACCAAATATAAAATTTAAACCATTAAGGAAAGGGTATACTAATATGGAAAGGGTATACTAATAAGGAGTGTTAGGTTAAATAGTTTTATGACTGATAACAAGTATTAACTTCATCACCTGGACTGCTAAATCAATCCTTTATGAAACCTGTAAAATCTTTGAGTCGAAACTCTTGTATCGACAAAGCGTCTTGACCTCGCCACAAATTTGCTTATGTTAGACGTTTTATTTCTATTCCCACAAGGTTATTTGGATGTCTGAAGGAATGAGATTCAAGAGGGTTTAGCTTTGACTTGGCAAAGCCGATATACTTGTACTCAAGAGGAAAGTTTTTAGGTGATTCAAGTGCACCTGTCACCTCTTAACATTTTTTTAATTTACCACGTGGACATCATGCAACAATGGAAAGGCGACGATTGCTGAGCGAATAGAGTTCACTATACCACTTATGATTCCCTCACGATTCTAACTGTTAGTAGTTAACCAGCGCTTCTTAAGTTCTCATAAAGCTCAGCCATCCAGTAGTAAAACACAGATAGTGATAATGAGGTGCCTTGGAAGGAAGCTCATCACCTTTACAATTTTGCTTTTTTAATTTTTCAAAAATATTTCCAACGGCTATCATTTGCAGGACTTTCAAATCTCTGAGGAAAATGCTTATTATGAAAATTTATTATTTACAATTATAGCAATTTTCGAACTTCTCGATATCATTTTGGGCCACTTCCGGAAAATACGATGGATGATATCCAACACATTTTTATGATATCTCTAAAAGGTTAGCTCTCTAGATTAACTTCATTTTCTGGTCTTCCAAAATCATTTATTGTATCCTAAACTTATTCAAAAGTTAAACTTTTTTCAATCCATTTTTTTAAATGGAAGCCTCGCGAGAGTTTTGTCCACACCAAAGGAGTATGATTTTTGATTGTAGCGTTGATTTTAAACCACTCACCTGCTAAAGCGGCCACGGCCACAACATGTCCAGATTTTCGTGCCACCATTTTCGGTAGAAACTCCTTAACAGTCTGTAAGTTAAAGGGTTCTACTAAGAATACTAATTATTTACCTAATATGTACCATCACTCACCATAATATATGAGCCCAAATTGACCGTAATTATGGTTTCAATTTCATCATTGGTCAAATGTGGTGTAGAGGTCATAGGCATTAACGAGGCATTGTTGACTAATATTTCAACTGGACCCAACTCCTTCTCGACCTTCACCGCCATCAACTGTAACTCACGCGGCGACGAAACATCTGTCTATATTATGAAAGAGAAAATTATAATTTTAACCTTGACACAGGTGATTTCCATTATGCAGAAGTCACATACAGAAGTACAACTCAATAAGCATATGATAAAAAAAAGCCAATAAACGTAGCATACTTTTATGCGCAGTCGCAAACAGCCAAGTGGGTTCAGAGGATAATAGTCTTGCATGTAATTGACTTATATTTACCGCTATAATTGAAAGGAAAGTGATTTTACATGCATGCTCATGTATTCGTATGTTTGTATACAGTTGTTGTTGTATAAGCACACACTCGGCGACTTTGCATGAGCATTATATGCACGCCTACCTTATACGCTTTAGCCACAGCACCGGGTATTTTGGTAATGAGGTCAACTGTTTCATAGCAGCCTTTTGAGTTCACATCCACAATGGCCAATTTGCAACCCTTTCGGGCCAACTCAATGGCGATTTCCCGGCCAAGGCCATTACCTGCACCGGTCACCTGCAGAGAAAACAGAAAATTTGTGCTTAATTTTATGCAAAAATAAAAAAACAAATTTATTTACATATGTATGTAAGATTAAGTTTATTTACAGGCTACATTTTATACAAAAAAGTTGGAATGAAGAAAATCGTGCTTTCATGATCCATCGCCGAAATGTATGTACAAAAGCCATTAAATTATTTCGCAGCATTAAGAACTATTATTACATTTACTATTGAAGTATAATTTTATAGTGTGAAAAGTTTTGAATAGCAACTGGACATACGAGCTTAGCCGATTATCGTCCCAACGTACCAAGAGATTGTGTATTGCTGTGGCTGTGTTTGACCGTTATTCTATGCACGCGCAGACAGATGGAAGTATGGCTATGGAGACTCAAATTAGTTTTTTTTCTAATGTTCATAAACTTATCTACTTTAAATAGCCTAGGAAACTGTCTAGTAGTCTGTAGAACTTTATTAGTAAACCATAATATATGCTTGTAGTTGTATTGAAAAATTATACTTTTGATTATTTTTAGGCTTTCTAGTCCATATGGAGCGGATATCTCTAGCCCTAGCTGTTATTTTCTGGAATAGCCCAATGGGACTGATATTTATAGTGAAGGTTGAAAATATGTTCTTCTGATTCTCTTTTTCGAGAAGAAATCTAGCGCATATAATTTAATTTTATGAGCAACAATTTAGCTTTATTATGAAGATAAGGGTTTGCCATTATGTTTTAGAAATGATTTCGGGCAAGTGACATTCGCGGCTGTCTCGAATAAATACCACGCGAGAGACCCAATTTTCGACCACTTTTTGCAGCAATTGGACCCATATGTCAGCAATAACGCCCCGAATATTCTCTGCCAAGACGTTAATCGTCTCGGCCTTATCTGTGTAGATTTCACATAACCTACAAAAAGAATCGCAGCATTGTTAAATCGCACGAACTTGGAAGTCACGCCACAGACCCACCACTCGAAATAATGTGCTCACCAAAAGTTTTCTTCAATTAATTGATCGTTTTGTTGCCTGTATGACATGTAGGTCTTTTTGGAACCGAAGGTTGTCCATTTCAATATCGTACAATTCTGGCACGAAAAAGTCATTAATCATGGCTCTAAAGCGTAACCCATTGACTGCAACATTATGGCCGGCTTCATTTTTGAAGAAATATGGACCAATGATTTCCGCTGTCCATACAGTACACCAAATAGTGATTTTTTGGGAATGTAACGACGTCTCAACAATGGCCTGTAAATTCACCCGAAATATGATAATTTTTTTCTTTTAGCTTACACATTCAACCAAAAGTGAGCTTTGTCGCTGCACAAAACCGCGCTGACCGAACAATTATTTTGGTATACGTAATGAACTTGCACGATTTGCAAACGTTCTTCCTGAATAAGTACATGCGAAAGCACTGTGCAGAGTAGATAAAAGCCGAATTCTCAATCAACCGATTTATTTTGTCTTAAATCAAATAAATTGGTAAAAATCTGCACACTCACGAATTCGGCTACGAATCACTTCCTCGTCCTATCTATTTTTCGTTTCTGCCCTATCCTCAAACCTCTTGATCGCTTCAAAAAAACTTGCCGAAATTGAGACCTGGTTGAAGTAAAAAACCAGTTGTACTACAAAAAATGTGTCGAAAAGTTGGATCATCTATAAACTGCGTTTCGCCCTCGATGGCAAAATGTTGAAAAATAAAATAGAATTTTGCCAAAAAAAAAAAACAAAGTTCTTTAAATTTGGCCAAAATCGTTGTCCCTGCATACTCGTTTCTATAAATTCTTCCTTGGCCTATTAAATGAACAGTCTTATTATTGGAAAATAATAAAGAAAAGATATTGTTTTTGCTTTTATAAAAATATTTTCATACAACAAAAAAATATTAGTCGTAAAAACAACTATATATGATTAAAAAAAATGATGTCAATTATTAAAAAAAAAATACGCAAAAAAGTGCCTATAGCAAACTGACCTGATTACATTTATTAATAAAAGTAGCGCCAGCGGAGAAACAAAACAACTAAGCAGTATTCACAACTAAACACACCCATACACACTTTACATGAATCTTTCATATGACTTGCCATGCTCTAACAAGTATTACTACATATATATATATGTGTGTGTGTAAGTGGCCAACAGTGCAGCGCATGCCCCCATCGCTAACTCAATTAATGTCTTTTTTCATGTAAATGTTGCGCCACTCGCAGCATTGCGCAGCCAACAATTCAAGAGCGCCGCCACCCAGCTGGACCAACAGCGCACACGGCTGCAGCTAGCAAACAACAGCAGCAACATCTTTGTTATCAAGATGATCATCAGCAATTTAATTGCTCAGTCAGCTAGTCATCTAGCAGCCAGCAGCAACCAAGGCAACCCATTGAGCCCTCGCTGCGAGTCAAGCAGCCGCCTTCAAAGCACAGCACAGCCGATGAAATTTAATATGCCACATTCTGAATTTGAGATTCTTTCTATTTCTCGCACACACACACTTACAAATGTGCATACAAATATAAAAGCATGCATTTGTGTGCGCTTTATTGTCTCGTATTACTCATCCGCCCCAGCGAGCGGTCACGCAAAATGCCTCAAATAGCAAGTGAGTGGAGTGCAATTATTAGTTATGCATGTGTACATTTGTGTGAGCGTGTGTGTGTATTTATAAATTGACATATTTGGCATTATATTAACATTTTACCGTGGCCTTTGTCGCTAACCCCTCGCACTTAATTTTACGGCTGGCGCGCGTTTGTGTGTTTTAATTTACCGTAGACAGCCGCCAGTCAGCACAAGCCGTCTTGCTTGTTGTACACACACATACATACATACAAACACAACTACAATATGCTAATTACTACTTTTCTAATAACAAAACAAACGAAAAAATTCTCATGCTTATCTTTCATCATTGTGATTTTTCATATTTTTATCTTCCCTTATTTCAATATTTCCTACATTTTCCATTGATTTCACACTTTTATTTTTACTTCGCTTTGTTATGTCTGTCATTTTGCTTTGGCCGCGTTTCGCATTTTCTCACTTTGTTGTTGTCGACCTTTAATAAACTAGTTTTGCTTCTTCATGTTTTTCGTCATTAACAAAGAATTTGTTAAAGAAGAATCAAAAGAAAATAAATTTTAATAGTTTCTTTTACAACCATTAAGCGTACTATATGGTAGTAATTTAATGTGAGTTAAAAAGCCTAATTGACATTAAATTTGCTGGTAATTAGTACTCAGAAGTGTGCTCCGTTAAGCGCGAAGTTGAAAACGAGTTTTATTCAAACAGTTAACCTTAGCGAATTTCATATTACAAAGTGGACATTTTAGTGGTCATTATAGACAAACCTTTCAACTAAGTCAATTAGTGTCATTTCTCTACACAATTAGCTCATTGACTAACTTAAGCGGAGATCTAAAAAAGCTATTACGAAATCCATCACAGTATATTAGTATATTACAATATATTATTGATTAATATTATTATTGGCGTTCAAGTGGAAGAATTTTCTGTTGTCAATAATCGCTCTTTAGTCTTTTAAAAAGATGTCAAGAGTTTTTATAAAGGTCCTTAAACCGCCCCATATATCCAACGACATGTTAGGAAACAAAAAATGTTTGTACTATTGGAATTTTTAATTTCAAATAATTATGGAACCAAGGCTCATATTGATCTCTCCTAATGATTTATAAAGTCACGGAGCAATATTTTAATGTTCATTTGAGTTTCTACATTCCAAACTACATTTCGTATAAGGACAAAAATATAAAAGTATAATGTATAATTTCTGAAAACGGTGTTTTTTGTTTTCCATCTGATTAAAAAAGACAAACACGGAATATGTATTCGATTCGCCATATCGCTACTCGCTATGATAAAACTCCACTTATTTATATAAATGATTGAAAAGTTAGCCAATTTGGAATTGTGTTGTTGGATAGCTCATTTTGCTGATGGAACAATTGGGTACATCTCCTCTATTTGATAATGTCAATCCTATGATTTATACCAGTTGCTTGTTCGATTCGCTACTTTTCAAAACTTGGTGTGTCGAAGATTGCTAATCTATATATATAAAGAAGGATGTGTATATTATGAAATCGATATATCGATATATCGACGTATAAAACAGTTTTACTATATCAGCTTAGACACTCAGAAACAATATTACATAAAAATAATAATTGTTTTGTATATTTACTTCCCTATATAGCTACAAGCTGCGTAACATTTAGAATCGATGATCCCACAAGTTTTAATCTTTTTGCAAAATATTTGGTCTATAACTAAATTTGTGCATTTTTTTACAGTGAGCATTTAAAAATAAAAATGGACCATAGTATTATTCAAAGTATTGCCCTTCTGAAGCCACTACAACAATTTCCCATCTTTTTGACAATTTATGGATTCCATACCAAAAGAACTTCACTGATCTAACGGCCAAGAATAAATAAAGCAATTTTTGCCATTAAAGTCTATTTTGATGTGAACCGTATTCCAGTGAGGGTGTGCTGCATCGACCGAAACGAATGGTAGTCAGATGGTGCAAGGACCATAAGGCGAGTGAGGTAAGGCTTCCAGGCGCTATTTTCCAAATAGATTTTAACTAGTCTTATAACATGAGGCTGAACGTTGTTATGATTAATTATTTCCGAGTGTCTAGTCGCGAATTCCAGGCATTTTCGGTTAGCGTTATCCATTAATGGTTTCACCCAGTTTTAGAAGCTTATAATGCAGCACGCCCCCAACAATTACAGAGCATTACCTTGGCTTTTTTCTATATCGTTGATTAAACTGAATGGCCAAATTAAACATATGATTTTTTGCATTAGGGTTGTCGTGTGGCAATCCGATACAAAAACGACTTCTTTTTGTAGCGATCACGCAGCATTTCTGGCATTCAAATCGACTTTCAACGTTTCTTAGCTTTAATTTATTTAACACCCGATTTCCTTGCTCTTGAGTGTATCCCGTTTTTTTTTTTGAACATTTTGCAAT